TCAGTTAATCAAAAAAATGTTTTATTTTACAAAGAGTTAATTTTAGATTCCTAGTAACATTTAAAAACCTCAAAGTTTCAACTAAAATAGGTACTACATTCAGTTTTGACCATTTCAGAATTATGATAGTCCAATTTGTTTTTAACAAAAGTTATGTTTATGGAGTTTGGAAGGTCTTCATAATGGCCATTAGTGTCCTAAATTACTTTGGGCCAAATTGGTCCATTTAGGTACAATAGAAATATGTATGATATGAAACAGTGGTTTTTAAACATGAAATAAGCTGGGGTCCCCAAAGTAGGGGGTTGTTTCTCTCAAATTATTTAGATAACTGGGATCCTAGTTTTTCCAATGATTTTTTTTTCTAGAGCAAAAGCCTCAAGTTTGCAAGTCAAATGCCAGCATAGCTCCACTAGGCATAGTCCGATTTCAAAATGTCAGGCCGAAGGCTGGAAAGTAGAGATCCAGGAGGAACAGCACAGTTCCAAAAGGAATTGGACCAAAGGCTGCACAATGCATTTCGAGTGGGTCAGCCTTCTTCCAAATGCGTGAGGCCAAAGGCTTAGTGGCACGGTTCCAACGGGACAGCCTGGTCCCAAAGGGAATCGGACCAATGGCTAGTGTAGTTTTGGTAGAAACAGCCCAATCCAAAGGAAATTGAACCAAAGGCTAGCACAATTCCAGCGGAATAGCCTGATTTAAAGACAATCTGGCAGCTGAAACTGGCTTGGCTCAGTGGATAGAGCATTGGCCTGTGGACTAAAAGGTCCCGGGTTCGATTCCGGTCAAGGGCATGTACCTTGGTTGCGGGCACATCCCCAGTAGGGGGTGTGCAAGTGGCAGCTGATCAATGATTCTCCCTCATAGATGTTTCTAGCTCTCTATCCCTCTCTCTTCCTCTCTGTAAAAAATCAATAAAATATATTTTAAAAAAAATAAAGACAGTCTGGCAGAAGTGCCAACCCTGTACTCACAGACAAAACAAGACCTTAACCAAAAAAGAAAAAAAGCCTTTAAGTAGATCCCAGGTAGAGCCTGCAGATCTTCAAAACACAAAGAGTAGAAGTTAGGATCCAGAATGAAGACTTACCATATTTTTCAGACCATAAGACGCACTTTTTTCCCCCCAGAAGTGGGGGGGGGAAGTCCCTGCGTCTTATGGTCCAAATATAGCCTACACATATACTTAAAAAAAAAAAGTTTTTTTACTTGCCTGGCTCTGTGTGGTCTCTGTGTGCTTGCCCGGCTCTAAAATGGTTCTAAATGCTGCTGTTTACTTTACAGGGTTGATTACATGTGTTTATGACTGTGATGTTGGGTTTTAATGCACATAAAATATTTTAGGACACTATTTGTTTCAGAATCTTTCTCTCTTCATTTCCCTTCTCTAAAAACTGGTGCGTCTTATGGTCCGGAGCGTCTTATGGTCTGAAAAATACGGTACTTCAAACTCCAGGGTTGGAGAGGTAGCAGTGAGCTCAGTTGGCTCTGTGGGTACTGCATCTGTTTGCTTACCAGCCTTGAAGTTTGGGGGAGCGAGGAGGTGGATGTCTTCTCTGGATTCCCATCTTAGACACCAAATAATGTTGACCTTAAATAAACAGACAGCCAGATATTTCTCCAGCAAAATAAGCTTATTCGGGAACAACAAACAATTGTAAATCAGGATATGTGATCTAATGGCAAACCATGCTCAAATCCAGAAAACAAAGGAGAAAAATATGGAGTGTTTTTAGAGGAAAGGGAGATTTCAAAGAGGATGTTACAAACAAAGAGTTTATTAGAGGAAACTTGGGGTTCAAAGCATGGCTTTTCATCAGCTGAGTGGTAACAGTCTTTCATTGGCTGAGTGGTTGCTAGGGGAGAAGATCCTCCTCCTCCTTAATGTAGTAGTAGAGAGGAATAACATCTTCCTATTGAAAATGGATAGTATGTCTCTTCCTGTTTGGGGTAATTGATGATTACCTACAGGCTCTTCTGACTCCCAATTTAAATCAGGTTTCTGTTAATTAATCTTCACAGCTCTCTTCAGAGTGTTGCCATTGCAATAACCTGGTTATTATTTAACAAAAAAGGAAAGGGATGCCATTTGTACAGCTTTGCCAAAAGCTGCATTTAACATGTTCCAAGTCTGTCCCCAGTGATTGATGGGGGAGGGCAAAGACTAAAGCAGTTTAGACACATTCCCAGTAAGGTCTCAGTACATTACAGATGCTTGCCCAGCGTTCACATCTGGCAAAGGGTAATTGGCCAGGATGGACATGGCCACTGTGAACACACAAAACCTGAATATGCAAACTTTCAAACAAAGGAAGTTTTCTCTCTCTCTCTCTCCCTCTCTCTCTCTCTCTCTCTCTCTCCACCTATGGCAGGGGCATGCTCTCCCCTGTGCCACATAACACACGGCCATGTTGTGCTCCACACATGACCCATCGCTGTAACCTGGCCTGGATGTTGAACCACACCTGGCTGCAACATGGGATGGAAACTCTGGACACCGGCCATGCTTCTGGCTCTGCTGAACTCCAAGCTGACCCTTTTCAGGACTGGCTTGGGGAAAATAGGTCATTCAAAATTTAGAAATGTAATTCTATGCCAGTAAAATCCTCTCATCCTCCTGTGGGGGCTTCTGAAAATCCTATTTCAGCAGTGCCCCAAGATCTTCCACCTCATTCCCACTTGTGCCTGTGAAATGTGGCACATTAACTCCTCCACCAGCAAGAGTACTAACTAAAATTATTACTTAACTTTGAAAAATTAGTTATTCTTTGAGAAAATGGAGCATATGCCATTCTGTTTTGTTTGTTGTGTTTTTTGTTAGTGTGCATGAAAAAGATGGGTAGTCATGTCTTAGGCAAACATCATCTATGAAAAATGCCAGTTTACCTTAACTGAATATGTCAATTGTCTTTTTGCATCTACAATAACATACATGTGGAATGTCAGAGTAAATCCTTTTTTCCCAGGCCCCTCAGAACACAATCTCCCACTAGAATACAAGAACCTTTCATTGCTTTCTTGTTCCCTGTATACCATCTCTATCTGCTGTAAATGTGAATTGTTAACTATCCTATAACCACCAATCCTATATAATAAAGAGGTAATATGCAAATTGACCATCACTCCAACACACAAAGTGGCCAGCCCATGTGGTCAAAGATGGTCAACACAAGATGGCTGTCAGGAGTGGGCAGCTGTGGGTGATCAGACCAGCAGGGGAGGGAAGTTGGGGGGGACCAGGCCTGTAGGGGAGGCCAGCTGGAGAGGGCAGTTGTGGGGGGGGGGGATACCAGGACTGCAGGGGAGGGCAGTTGGGGGTGATCAGGCTGGCAGGGGAGAAAAGTTAGGGTGACCAGGCTGGCAGGGGAGGACAGTTAGAGGCAATCATGCCAGCAGGGTAGCAGTTAGGCGTCTATTAGGCTGGCAGGCCGGCAGGCAGGTGAGCGGTTGGGAGGCAGCAGTCCTGTATTATAAGAGGGATGTCCGACTGCCTGTTTAGGGTCTAAATGGGCAGTTGGACATCTCTTGAGGGGTCCCAGATTAGAGAAGGTGCAGGCTGGGCAGAGGGACATACACATCCTCCCTTTCACCCCCTATGCACAAATTTCATGCACTGGGCCTCTAGTGTAAAATAAATGTCTATCTGTTTTACTTTTTATCCAATCTCAGAGATTTCCCCACTTTGCTTTCTCTCACCTCCCTAATATACCACCAATGGATTTCATGTAGCTCCCTTAGATCTTTGTCCTTTGATTCTGATGTATAAAACAAGGTACATAACTGTCATTCTCTAGAGCATTTTCTCAATCTGTTGAGATTTTTCTTCCCAGCAATTGTCATCAGTTTGTCTCAAATAAACTCATTAAAAAAATCTTACAGATTTGGATGTTTCTTATGTAACATTTTTATTTTGGTCAAGAAAAGTCTTATTGATAATGTCAGACAAAATTAGCAAAGTCAGCAATTTAATCAATAGTAGGATATACAGTTCTTTATTTTTGGCATTTTACAGGGTTTTGTTCTCCCTATGACCAATTTCAATTAATTTTCTTCACTTTTCCTTTCTTTTTTCTTTTTTTGGTCTTCTTACATTCTATTATTTTTCCCTCTAAGTAGTTAAGTTTTATGAATTCTATTTTTTTAATTGTTGACTATTTCAGCTATCTCCATTCCCCACCCTTTGCCTCCCTCCACCCAGCCCCTGCCCCACTTGGGTTTTGCTTATATACATACAAATTCTTTGGTTAATCTTTTCCCATTCCTCCCATAACCCTTCTTTCTTCTTTAATTCTTTCTCTTCTCAACACCACCAAATTGCTAGAGGAGATGACAAGCCTCTGGATTTAAATATACTCAACTCTAATTATATTGCATCAGAAATTGCTAGTAAATTTGAGTTGTAATGATAACATTGTGATTAACTGGTTGCTAATAATATTTGGTAGAAAGGGAGCAAAGGGAAGGCCAGACATTATAGGCACACCATTTGGGGGCAACTTCATCAGGAAGCTCTAACTTTTACACTCCCCAGGGATACAACAAAGGGAAGACAGACGCATGCCCAGTAACATTGGAATGGCATAGGGAAGATACTTGTCTGTCAGTCATACCTGGGAACAGATACCATTGGCCAGAATGGGCAAGGCCACTGTTAACACCTAAAGATTTTGGACATTTGATCCCCTGAAGAAAGAAGTTCACTTTCTTGGCTCCTCTCTGCACACTTGGCTCATGGCTCAAACTTGGCTTCCTAGCATTCTCCCACGTGGCCCATAGTATACAATGGACTGCAGCTAGCCTGGTGCTGAACTGGACCCAGCTCCAACATGGAAATGAAACTCTGGACACTGACTCTGATTTTAGCCCTACTGAAACCCCAGCTACATTTCTTCAATGACTGAACTAAGGTGTTGTAGTCTAGCCCCATCTTACAAAGGACGCCTCTGGAAGTCGAATTATGGAGTCATTTATAAAAGGTCGGTGGCATACAAGGGACTAACTAAAGCTCCAAATCTCGCAGCCCCAAACAGCTTGCCACATCTGCCTTATACTGGCAGAATATCACAAAGGTATCGATTATATCTTTGGCTCTGGAATGAGGAACCTGCTTGGTGCAAAGCTTTTACAGTAGCAAAATTGAGCAAATTAGTTACCTAAAGTATCTAAGAATCACTGAATCAACAGAAACACATTATCTGGGACCACCTGGGCAATTTAGAATAATTGTGCTGTTCAGATTCTGGGATCACCGAGTCAACAGGAATGTACTATCTGTAGCTACTGAGGCAATTTAGGATAATTTGTGCTCTTCTGATTCCGGGACCACTAAGTCAACCGAAACTCAGTTATCTGTAGCTACTGAGACAATTTAGGAGAATTGAACTGTCCTGGGTCCCAAGAATGTGCTTCGATGACCAGTGAGATCACAATCAATGGGACATTCAAACTATTGTATCATCAGTGAGTATTGGGATAGCATACATAAGTTCAGAAAATCAAAATAACTTTCCATTGTTTTATCAAACAAATAAGTACAGAACCCAAGCAGAAGTTTCTATTACCGTACTTCAAAGGGAAATGGGACTTTGGAAACTCAGGGGTGTAATTCCACAGAAATAAAGCTTTCTACCATATTGCAAGACTCATACCTGTGTGAGTCTCCTTTTTTCAGTATATTGTGAAAACCCCACTCCCACTAGCAACGGGAAAAGATGAGGCACATCTTTCTCAGTTAACAGGAACATATTAGGAACCACCCAGAGATTTGGCTCTCGAGGAAACCAAGTTTTCTTTCTTATGAATCCCAAGATGCCTGTAGGACAGCAGAAGAAAACCTGCTAGTGCGGAGAGCTAAAGGACCAGTAGAAATGGTAACGATTTCTTTTCCCAAGGGAAGAAAACTCCTCGCAAAAGATCCTCCTACAGAACAGAGTAGAGTGGTATGGGATTCAGGCTGTTCACACCCTCCTTTTCCTTCAGGTATTTTGTATTTCTACTGATGTGTTATATAAAACAGGGTCAATTGACCTGCCTATAATGGCTTGCAGACGTTTGTAACTTTGTTTTACTAATCAGTGTGTGCAGTCAGCTGAGGATTAGGAAAAGCTTCTAGCTTTATTAGCATTCAAGTTGAGCTTCCTCAACCGCTAGGGAACACGGCAAATCAATGCTCACAAAGATGCCTAATCTTCACCCTCACCTCTACCTACACCTCTACTAGTCCACAACACCCTCTGTAGTTACCAGCTGACTGTGAAATGGAAACAGGTACTCTGGAAGTATGTTTCTCCGCGCGCGCGCGCGCGCGCGCGCGCGCACACACACACACACACACACACACACACACACACACACACACTTTTCTGCAATAATACCCACACTGGAAACCAATCCACAAGAACAACTGTATCATTAACAAAAGCCCTTTTGAGATAGGACGTGATGAAAATAGAATTTCTAAAGGAATCACTCTCTGAGAAATAAGCTGTGCTCAAAGCCCAGGTTCTTTGTTCCATGACTCAGATTCCAAAGCCTATATCCCCTCTGCTGGACCACAGTAGAGTCAAGCAGAGCACTGTTCACCTCAGCTGGAAAGTCATTATGTTTTCAAACTGGAAGCTATTGGGAGTCTTCTTGCTAAACACTGCAGCAACATGGTTTGAGGTGCAATATGGCCTCTGGACACTTGCTATTCTTTTTTATGTCTACACAGGAAACACAGAATAAAGAAAGAGATACATTAAGATTGCTGAAATGTTGATGAGATCTGGCAGGTGGCTGGGAACCCTGATGAGAGCTTCAGACGCAGAGATTTCCTCATCAAAGATCTGGTTCTGGCAACTGTCTTCCAACTCCACCTTCGCTTATGTGGCCCTCTCGCCTTTTCATTGTAAAATATTAACTTTGATTGCTTTGATTGCTTTGCATTTTTATTTGTTATAATCAAATATTTGCATGACAAGTACCAAAAACAACAACAATAAAACAAGTTCTTAGCTCATTTAAAATGAAAATCCTAGGTTTGTATTATTTAAATTCCTCTTGTGGTCCAGCATGCTAAGTCAAAAATTTCAGTGTTTCAAAATGATTTCAACTTGTGTGCATAAACAGAAGTTTATCATATTTTATTCTCTCTGGACTTTCTGCTGGCTTTTTTTTTTTTTCCACCAAGGTTGAATTACATTCATCTAAAGATGAGGAAATTTTAAAACCTAGCCCATCTGTAAATTAGGAATTGCCTGTTAATGAAAGCCATATGTAATCTCCAATCCTGCTTTTAATCAGTCATTTCAACTTCTTCACTAAGTAAACCTTTACGCTACACTGCTCATGGAGAATCCTGAAGTATCATTAGCATAATTGTACAGCCCTGGGGATTAAGAGTAGGACAAATCTGGCTGAAGTCCAGCTCTGCCACTAACTAGCAATGTGACCTTGGGCCACATTGCTTCATTAATATGAACTTCAGGTAGCTCTCTCATTTTGCTTTTATGATGATTAAATAAGCTAAGGCATGAAGAAAGCAGAGGGAAATGAGACATATGTAAAACTTTAGACAATAAATAAATAAATAAATAAATAAGAATACATTGTTTAATGCCTGAAACATGATGAGCACTTGACAAATATTACCCAATGTTATCTTTTCCCTTAAAGATTTCAAAGAAATGGAATATACATCGTTTAAAAGGAACAAAAACTAGACTGGCACCAGATTTCTCATCAGAAAGATTGAGGCTAGCTTTCTGTTCTGAGACGATAGTTTTCACCTAAACTTCTAAATACAAATACATTTTAAATAACATATGTCAATATGCACCAGTTAAAAACCACCAGAAACACACCTCCAATAAAACAAGGTTGGGTTTATTTATTCTCTTTGCAGAGAGGAAGGCTTCAACCTTGGGGAGCATGGGGGTTTCTGTAAGAAAAGTCTTGTTATGAGATTTAGGTTTGTGTTGAGTGATTTTGGACAGTGCAGGGAAGCTGAGTTTGCTTTGGTTTGGGTGCTATCAGCAGATGAGAATAATTCTATTATTAGATATCTTAATAATTTTCATCCAGAGGTCAGGAGAAATGGAATAGGTAGTTCTAAAGCTTAATTGGTATGGTAGCAATAATCACTCATGTTAATCAGGAGGAGATGCTGAGCATTTTTATGATTTGCTCTGTGTTCTTGCTATAGTCTGTGCTCAGACATGATTTCAGAGTGATCCTATTTTTTTTTTATTTGTTACATCATGGTCAAAGAGTCACTTTGTCTGATGTTGGTGTTTTGTGAGTTTGTTTATGTTAATAGGAAGCATCGCTGTTAGTACCAGGCCTGCCACCAGCAGACAATACCTCTTCCTTTTCAGTGGAATGAAAAATAGGGACATTTTCAGACATGCAATGACTCAGACATTTACCTTACATACACTTTTTCCTAAGAACTTACTTAATAATGTGCTAAAACACAAACAACAGAGAAACAAGATAAAGGAAGATTTAAAATGCAAGAAATATTGGCACCAACCGAGGAAAGCTGGGCAACTGTTCCAGGAAGAAATCAGCCCGGATGAGAGAAAGGGTAAGAGAGACCTCCTAGAGAGAAAAGAAAGCAAAGGTGAGTCAGTACATAGCTGGCTGAAATACAGAATTGAAAATACAGTTTATAATACATTCAAATAATACAAGAAATAAAAAGGCAAAAATAAGAAATAAAGGGAAAATTAGATACCAAATAAAGCAAATGCAATTCAAGTATATTAACTGGTTCTACCCTGAATAGTTAAATAACGCAAATATATAGATATTAAGAACAATCTCTAGATCACGATTAGAAAACTTCAATGTGAATTAGAGAATGCGAACAATTTAAACCTTGACATGTAAAAAACAAAAGTTCAAATGACAGAGCCTGCAATGAGGAAAAGAGAGAAGAACTAAAGGAAATAGTAGGGCCAATAATATCACCACCCTGCCGAGGAGACTCTGAAACAATTCAATGGAATAAGAGATAACTGTGTTATTAAATTACTTCAAGTTACATGAAAATCAATATAAATCTAAAAACTAGTATAAGTCTGTTAGGAGAATGCAGGATGGTGGTATAATGAGGCAAATACTCATTTATTAGAACAAGAAGTCTAATGAGTCAATCAAGAAACGGCAACCTAAGCCTACTTATTGAAATGATTGAAGTAACAATCAGAACAACCAGAAGTTGCCAAAAGAGTTCAAAGCGATTACCTCTGTGCAGCAGGTTTAGCATTCAAAAGGAATGCAGCAGGGGATGGGTTTTCGTCTTTCTAGATCCTTTTTTCTGTGTGGTTGTTTTTTACATGCATAAATTTTATTAAAAGCTAATTAAAACACACACACACACACACACACACACACACACACACACACACACAAAAGCTCGGCTGGGGTGGAACAGTAGTTGAGCATCAGCCTATGAACTCTGAGGTCACCATTCGATTCCCAGTAGGAGCACACATCTGGGTTGCAGGTTTGAACTCTAGTGTGGGGTGTGCAGAAGGCAGTGGATCAATGACTCTTTCTCATCATTGACATTTCTATCTCTCTCTTCCTCTCTGAAATCAATAAAAATATATATTTTTTTAAAAAGCAAAATAAGTCATTAAAAAATGAGCATGGCTGTTGTTTAATAAATATTTACTGAATAAATTATTCACTGTATATTAAATATGAGGAAAATATAGTTTAGAATCAACATTTTATCAGTAAGATTTGGACTGTTTTTAATTTCTTCATAGTCCAAAAAAGAGACAACTTTTTAAAAATACAGTATGCAGTTCAGCATGCAGATCCTTCAGAATTCATTAGTTACTTTTTCATCATGGTAAGCTGTTCTAGTTTTACAACTTTTGAGTAACTAATACAATTGCCAGCAGGTATTAGTTACTCAGTCTTCTGCAATGAACTATGCTCCCTCTGTGTTCATCTGCCCTCCACCAACCTGAAGATCAAGGATTTTGCCTGGTCCCCCATGGCACCACATAGCTGAGTGCAGCTCGGTGCACAAAGACATGTGGAGAGACAACACCCTCCACTCACCTCTATCACCCAGGGCCTCAGGGACCTGCACTGAGAACCAGTGCCTAGACACCTGTGCCTTTCCTTTCCACTGATGCCCTGCCTCAATCCCCACTATTGATTCTTAGATCCCAGGGATTCACTCAAGCACAAGGCCACTCACTATACAGAATAATTCTGAAAGTCCAAATTGCAGATTACAAAAGAGTTTCCCCACAGATAGGAATGAGGTTTCTTGAGATATTTAGTCCAGTGGTGGTTGTTTTTGACCAACCAGTATGAATATTCCCTTCTTAGTAACATTCCTGTTAATGAGGAATCACTCCTTCCCCTTGGATTCAGTTTCATCCTATATAATAAAAGCCCAGCGACCGAACGGCAGAACAACGAGAACAACTGGTGGACCAGTCACTATGATGCACACTGACCACCAGGGGGCAGATACTTGATGCAGGAGCACCACTCAGCTGACCAGGATGAGCAGCTGCTTCCACTGTGAATCCTGGACCAAAGGGCAGGAACCCAGGTTGTAATAGTCACCTCCTCACCCCAGGCTCCTCCTTCTCACTCCCTGTTGCTCATCTGGATGCCCGCAGGCCATGCAGTGCTGTCACTGGGCTCACAGAACTGACCCCACAGGCTGGGAGGCAGGTTCGTGACAGTTGCAGGACTGAGGCCTACTCTGCCACTTACTCTGTCCCTGGGCCCAGCCCTGACTGGGTCCCCTGGAGAGGCGAGTGCTTCAGCTCTACAGAAGATGCCAGACCAGAGAGCAGCCACTCAGAGGGCAGGCCCATAGCTACTCAGTTGACTGGGATGAACGGTGCTCCCACAGTGGGCCGATCCCTGTAGTCCATGCTGCCCTACCAGTGCATGAATCTTGTGCACCATACCTCTAGTAAGACTATAAAAGAAGAGGCTGACCATCCCTACCCAAGCAATAGGTTCATGACCCAAGGTCAGTGAACAGGTAGCTCCTTCCATGAAATCCAAATCTCTACGGAAGTTACCAGGTCACCCATGGCCTTTCAAGAACTGGCTGCTTCTGCTCTGCTGATGTGGCTCGGTTGTTGAGTATGTATGTGTGTGTGTGTGTGTGTGTATATATATATATATATATATATATATATATATATATATATATATATATATTAAAAAAAAAAAAAAAAAAA